GCGCCCGCCATTATGGTCTGGCTCTGTGGGGTTGACCATTCACCCACAGGCGTCACCGAGAGTTCGTTGGCAAGGTTGCTGACCGAGCCCTCTCGTCGGACTTAGAAGAACCCGTCCTACGCTCCAATAGGACTCCCCCCCCTTTAGCCCTCGAACCCTTAGTTCCCAGTACTCCCTGAATCTGCCGTCGAATCAAGGACCTCTGAGGTTCTGAGGTTGACGCGGGGAAACCGACGCGGAGGCGGGGGGGTGGTACTACTGTGTGCACCCCTTGGTTTTTCAACACCAGGCCTAGCCCTGGTGCAATTTTCGCGCACGGCAAGGACGCTCCCAATGACGCACACACAGAGCGAAGACCCAAGAGTTTCAAGACACGTGTGCCTCGCCTCAGACAACCAAGGAAAGACGGCCAGCTTACAGCTTCACTGGACGTCAGTCAGTGGCACCCCTACGGAGGACAACACGCAGAGACGCCTCAACACTCACTCCCCTCTAGAGGATGGCAGTCGCGAGCGTGCTCAGCGACAGTGCCGAGAAACTCGGCGAGGATGGGTTTGTGTCTACGTGAAAGAGACGTAAGGAGTCGCTCCCGCCACTTGGGCCAAATGAACGCAAATGAGATATCGATTTCTTCTAATCCATTCTCGAATACGGGCCTTAAGGCTTGTTCCCAATTTAGTTTTTCGAGTAGGCTATATACATGAGCCTCGCACGCAGACTCTAGCTCTTCCTGCTCCTGCTCTTCCTGGGTCAACGGGGCACACAGTGGAAGCGTAGGTGTTACGATGTCTTGTGTTGACTCCTCCCTGTGGGGAGTAGGCGGCGTCGGCTCAGCAGGCTGAGGCGCAGTGTGGGCCGTGGGGCCATTGCTCGGCTTCTCCCGAGATGGGGCGGGAGGCGCTGGTGCAGGAGTTGAAGCATCTATAGGCCATGGGCGCCGGTGGAGGTTGTACAGGCACAGCAGGCTGAAGAGACGCAGCTGAAGCCGCGGGAAGAACGCCGGAAACCTCCATGGCTGGATCTGGAGGCGGTGGCGCAGGAGACGCGGCTGATGCCTGTCGAGGCAGCTCAGGCGCGGTCACTTGAGGGACATTGGTAGTGGAGGATGGTGAAGCCCGTCTGGGGCCGGTGAACTGCCCAGTGAGCAAGGGACAGTTAGCTCTTCTGTGTCCCTGGCCAAGGCATCTAGAGCACCTGATCCCGGAGGTCAGGTACATAGGCCAGGCCTCGCCTTTTATTATTATATCGAGGCGGGCAGGAATGGACTCGATGGTCATGCCGTCATGTGGGACAATAAGCGCCTCTCGGCGGCCGTCGGTGTAGATGTATTTACCAGCTTTTAGCTGTTTGGGGACGATGGAAGTGACCCGCCCATAAGGTAAAAGGGCGTCGATGACGGAAGCATCCCTCACAAAGAAGGGGAGGTTCCCTATGGTTATTTTAGCAGCTCTTCTGTAGAAGGGGAAGGTCCTGAGGAGCATGCCCTCAACTTCGAGCACTTCATTGATCAGGCGCTCCGCAAGGGCCTTGTTTGCCAGTCCCAGCAGGTAGTGGCCATTCATCTTCGTGACCTGGACAACGTCACTGGTCCCTCCGACCATTTCATCGATTGCCTTGAGATAATGGTAAGGCTCGAATTCAGGGCAGTGCTCAACATAGAGACACTGCTCCTCAGTAGAAGACGCCTGCCGCGCCCTGGCCTCCACGATGTGTGTTCTCGTGGTCTTTATTTCTTGTGCCCGAGGCACCCGTTCCGTCGATGATCGTTGACGGCGGTAGAATCCAGAGCGACTGGCGTTGCTGGAATGTGCGGCCGTTACAGGTGATTCCGCCGAGCCGCGGCGTCTCCTTTTGCCATGGACGACGGTGAAGCCGTCCCCGGATGCAGGATTCACATCCTTTGAAGAATTTGTCCAGCCTCGTTGGGCCTTGATGGCGCCGTTGAAAGGCGTATCAATCGCAAAGTCGAACGACGTCGCCGAATTTGCATCTTTACCGCCAGCCGGCGAATTTGCATGATTTTCAATTGTTCTTAAATAAATAGAACATTTGTTCTTCAAATCGAAATTTTGAGATTTCTCCGCACAGGGATGAGCTTTTTGGCCGTGCCTAACAGGCATTTGTTCGGCGTGGAATGGGCTATCCGCCCATACCAAATTTGTCGCTGTCCGCGACATTTTTCTCTCGCCAAAAGGCGAAAATCACGGAGCTCGCGCGACGCGTGGCCGCACGGCCGAGTGTAGACATGTGGTGTACTTACAATAAAAACAGTTGCTAACTACCCACCATGATTATCATGGCTTTTACCATGTGTGGACATGTGGTGTACCTACAGTAAAAGACAGTCACTAACTACCCACCATGATTATCATGGCTTGTATCATGTGTGGACATGTGGTGTACTTACAGTAAAAGACAGTCGCTAACTACCCACCATGATTATCATGGCCTGTACCATGTGTAGATAATAGTGTACTTACAGCAAAAGACAGTCGCTAACTACCCACCATGATTATCATGGCCTGTACCATGTGTAGATAATAGTGTACTTACAGTAAAAGACAGTTGCTAACTACCTACCAGGATTATCATGGCCTGTACCATGTGTAGACATGTGGTGTACTTACAGTAAAAGACAGTTCTCTCCGAGATTTCTCTCCATTGAGGGTGCCTTTTGCAACGGCAGGCTTGGGGGCGCGGGAAGATGCAGGCTTGACTGGTACCAGTGGTTTGCTCCTCTTAGCGGGCGGGTTTGACGCCTCTGGTTGCTTCCTCCTGGTTAGAGCAGCATCTGGCTTCTTGGTAGCAGGTTCTGCCACAGGGACAGCAGCTGGAGCGGGGGTGGCAGGCTTGATGAGCTCGGTCTGAGCGCTAGAGTCCTTGCAGGTGGGAGCAGGGCTAGCTTGAGTGGTTTGGCAGGTTTTCTTGGGCATTTGGGCATCCATGATTTCATCCAGCTCCATGAAGTCATTCACGGTGCCCGTGAGGTTATTCACATCCCTAACTAGGCACTTGATTATTTCTGTTCGCTGCTCAATGAAGCGAACAAGGTCCAGGTGAAGAGCTGTAAGGGAGGGCTGGCCGAGGGATTGCAGGATTTGGTAGTGGCGGGAGATGACCATGTTGTCTTCTTTAACAAGAGCCGCGATGTCAACCGAGGGTTGAAAGGGCTTGTCGGCTTTCTTCTTCTTCTTCTTGCAGGAATCCATGGCGGGAGTGCGTCGGAGCGTTGAAGAAGTGTTAAAGGCCAACGGGAAACAACAAGAACGAGTTTTTATAGTGAAAACGTCGACCTCTGGTGGTCGATTTAGCAGAGTATTTTATCTATGAAATATATTTGAATAACATATTTTTTTTATAACATACATAAAAGTCAGTGTATGCATGTTTGTCGGCTATACACGTCCACAATACGTAACTAATCTGACTGAAATTTTAACAGTATATAGAATAGAGTCTGGAAAAACTCATAGTGAAAATTTCAGGTCTCTATCCCGAATATTTGTCGAGTTATTTGAAAATGTGCCCTTTCGCTCGCGAGCAGCGTCTCTAGCGGTGAGGATGGGAGGTAATATCATATACAGGGTCCATTATGAAAGAAATGAGCATTTACTGGCAAAATACATTTATTGATCGTAATTTGTGCACAAATGTTCAATATTCTTCAACATACATTCCTCCTGCATCAATACACTTGCGGAGACGCGTTTGCCACGCCTGAAAGGCACCCTGAAACCTCTCGACAGGAATGCTTCTCAGGAACGTTGTAACATGGTGTTGGATGTTTTCCACGGTTTCCCAATGTTTTCCTTTCATATCTCTCTTGAGTCGCGGAAACAAAAAGAAGTCACATGGAGCTAAGTCGGGACTGTAAGGGGGGTGAGGGATCACCGGGGTGTTGCTCCGGGCCAGGAAGTTGGTAATGATGAAGGCTGTGTGGCTGGTGGCATTGTCATGGTGGAGCTTGACCATGTCTTTAATGTCAGTCCTCACGCGTGCGATCCGGCGTTTCAATCTCCTGAGCACTTCCAGGTAAAAGGCTGAGTTTACAGTTTGTCCCTGCGGTACAAACTCACAATGGACTATTCCTCGGATGTCAAAGAAGACAATGATCATCGTTTTGATGCGCGACTTGCTCATTGGCGCTTTCTTGGGGCGTGGGGATGATTTTGTGTGCCATGCGCAGCTCTGCCTTTTCGACATTGGGTCGTATTCAAACATCCAGGATTCGTCTCCGGTTACTACAGAGTTCAGAAAGTCCGGTTCATTTTGAATCAAATTCAACAATTCTTGACAGCGCAAAACTCTTAAGTTCTTTCTGGTCTTGCGTCAACACTTTCGGCACAAGCTTCGCACAGACCTTACGCATTTGCAGATCCTCGGTTTCTATCCCATTTACCACAAATGTGGACATGTGTAATGGGTCAGCAATTTGCTGGATGCTTAATCGACGGTCGGTACGCAAAACTTCGAGCACACGATCCACGTTCTCGTCAGTTCTGGCCGTTGTTGGGCGTCCTGAACGGGGTTCGTCGGCGACCTCCTCCCGGCCCTCCTTGAACGCCTTGTGCCACTTCCCAGACTGTGATCTTGAAATGCAATCGTCTTTGAAGGCTTTTTGCAGCATCTGGAATGTTTCGGTTGCATTTTTTCCAAGCCTCACGCAAAACTCATGGCGTATCGTTGTTCAAGCGAACGCTCCATCGCGCTATGTTACAAAAGTTGAAAACACACTTCAAGCGGAGGCATGTATCTCCCCTCACACTGCTCGAACTCAACTGACGACCGGATGGATTGAAAGGGCATATCCCTCCACCACATTTCCCAGGGTTTTACCGTGCTGCCATCTATCGTCGCGTCACAATAACATTATGCTCATTACTTTCATAATGGACCCTGTGTATATTAAAATATACAGTTATCAGAGTCATCAATCAACAATGCTGTCACTGTTTGCTTTTGTGAATGGAATAAATACCCAAATATGGCCATTTTTATAAGCATCGGTGGTTCAGTGGTAGAATGCTCGCCTGCCACGCGGGCGCCCCGGGTTCGATTTTTAAAAATCATTTATATTATTAAAATATATATCCAAGGATAAGGCACAATTTGGTTTGTAGATTATAAACACAAGGTCATAAGACCAAATCCAAGGATAAGGTACAATTTGGATTATAGATTATAAACACAATGTAATAAGACCAAATCTAAGGATAAGGTACAATTTGGATTATTGGTTATAAACACAAGGTAATAAGACCAAATCTAAGGATAAGGCACAATTGGATTATAAATTATAAACACAAGGTAATAAGATCAAATCCAAGGATAAGGTACAATTTGGATTATAGATTACTAGCGAACCCGGCCACGCGTTGCTGTGGCAAAATTGTAATATGTTAAATTAACATTATACTAAACTATTCAGTACAGTAAAGTTAATACCCACTCATAAAGATAAAATTGTTTTAGCCGATCTAAAGCCCTACGGGATTGAGAATGGAACGTTACGTTAAAATTTGAAAGTGATTTTTATATATATAGATAATATAGCCCTTCATTGTAATCATTGATTATAATCACTGCATTAATAAATGTAAGTGAACTCGTTTATATGTATTGTTTTTTGTTTTAGAGATATTCTAATAGAACGTTCTCACATTTTCTGTAAAATATTTATATATGCACAAACACAGAATATAATCACTATGTCTTAATTTCGCTATAATTATTGTTATAAATATTATTCTAAAATAGTTCGCCAGAAATCGTCCGGGTAGTATACTAAACAACTTCCCAAAGTTTCATGGCAAACATCTAAAATAAAATAATACTTTTAATACTTTGCTACAATATTAAAAAGAGGGGGGCTTAGGTGTTTAAAATGTAAAATGTGCTCTAAATAGTATTACATAGAGCCTTCATAACAAACATATTTAAAATAAACCAATCAAAAAATAATAATGCTGTAAAAACAGACCTTGCTACAATAATATAAAAGAAACGAAAATAAAAAAAGACACCCACGCTGAGCCTCGTACCTAGGTTTGTTACAAATATTATTAAAAAATTGTTTATGTTAATTTTTATTTTAAAAAGCCTACATTTTAAATAAAATAATATTTTTAATAATTTGCTACAATAATATAAAAGAAATGAAAAAAAAAAAACACCCACGCTGAGCCTCGAACCTAGGTTGCGGGGGTACGAAGCTGTGTACCTAACATATAGGCTAAGCTTGACGTTACAAATAAGCTCATGCGAGGCTATTTCAGGCCCTACGTCTGCCGCGAGTTTTAAATAAAATAATATTTTTAATAATTTGCTACAATAATATAAAAGAAATGAAAAAAAAAAAAACACCCACGCTGAGCCTCGAACCTAGGTTGCGGGGGTACGAAGCTGTGTACCTAACCTATAGGCTAAGCTTGACGTTACAAATAAGCTCATGCGAGGCTATTTCAGGCCCTACGTCTTCCGCGAGGGGGCGCTGATTGCGAGTGAATTTACGTTTTATTGTAAATAAAAATGCAACGAAAGGTTATTTCTAAAGAGTAATTAGCCAGAAACTGTTCTACCGCGTTAGGGTAAAGGTTCGAGCTGCAGTGAGAACTATAAATTAATAATTTATATTTTAATAAGTCCAAAAATTACATACAATTATAAGAGGCAGATGGAGTACAGTTTTTACTCCACCAGCGCCTAGAGTATTATATAATGGAAGGAAACGCCGCAGGTTGTAGCGATGCGCGGTAAACAGCCGGCTGACATCAGGCGGTGTTCGAAAAGTGCGCGCGCAGCCCCCGGTGCGCGCGCAGGCCGGCTTGCCAGCTCGCAGAATTCCCGGCGTCCCGTGCCAGCGTCGCCCGCTGGCATCCTCTTATCTCATGCCCCCCCTGGAGATTGGGACTTGGGACCGATCCAACGTAGTTGCTATAACGCGGGTTCGGTTATCGGGTTCGAGGGGATAAGGTCTGCTGATGTTGAGCTGAGTTGGGTGGGGTGGTGTACGGTGGAGGCACGAAAGGTCGTAAGAATCTGCGATTACGGCGAAGAAGGCGTCCGGCGTCGGTCCGGATGAGGTAGCTGCGACCGCGTGGAAGTTGTTCGAGAACCTTAGCAAGGAGGGTCCAATGTTTTGTGCGGTGATCCTGGACAAGGACTATTGCTCCCACTTCCAAATGTGAGAGTGGCTTGGCGTTGCGATTGTAACGCTTCCGGAAGGAATGTTCTCTTACATTTTGCTGCAAGAGGTACTGGGCCATCTGGATCTGCTGGGGCTTGCCAGAGATGGTGATGACCCGTTCGTTGCTACCAGGCTGAGACTCATCTATGGTGATCCCCGCACCAGACTCGCGCCGGATCTTCCTGATGCGTTGACCACCTTTCCCAATGATGGCACCGGCGAGATCATTTGGTATAGTGACTTGTGATGAGCCTTTTTTCGGGACGACTACCATAGGATGGCACCAATCGATGGCTTCGCCGACGGGTACCTGTTCGATTATCCCTTTCGCCAACATGGTATCGAGTTGAGTTTTGACGGGGTCTCTCCAGCGTTTGCAAGGAACGGCATCTTTAACTAGTTCGATAGACATGGGGGGTCCTTGCTTGGGTTTTAACACTGTGTCGTCGAACGCTCTAGCATAATGGGTAAGGATAGACTGCTTATCGATCTCATTGGCTCTCACCGGGGTCGGCGGGAACGTTAGAACTTGTCCGTTGGTTATGGCATTGACGATCATTGAATGGGGCCAGTTATCCGGCAGAAGTCCTAAGGCTTTGCATCCGCTCTTGCTCAAGAGAGGGGCGTTCAGGTGCTTGCAGACTCCAACGGTAGTACTGTATGTTTTCCCGTTGAGATGCAGTGCCGCGACGAACGATCCACAAGGACTTAAGCTGATGCCGTTGGCTCCTACGCAAGGGACGTTCTTCGGGTTGAGTGCTGATCGGGTCTGCTCATCCAGTAACAGGAATTCTGATTCTGGGATTAGATCCAGATCTGACCCCGGGTCCGCCAGCCAACGGATTTGGTGTAACTTATGGTTGATATCGGTCGGAATGGTTATGAGTTCGTTGCGTACTCCAGCTGCAACAACTGTGTTTGAGGGTCCTGGTTGGGACTGATTGTTTCTGGTTGCGGGTGGCGGGATATTAGGTTTGGTTGTGGGTTTCCGTTTCAGTTGTCGGCAAACCCTTCCGTAATGCCCGGTGATGCCGCATTTGTTACACTCTATGTCTTTTGCTGGGCACTGGTCACGGCGGTGTCTTGGGTTCGCCCCACATCCGGAGCAGGGGTCGTTAGGATCATAGGGTTTCTGAAAGAAACGGTTGGCCTTAGGTGAGGTTTCAGACGAGCTGGCTTGTTGATGCTTGTAGGTTGATGGTGCACGTCTGGTTGCAATGAAGGCTTCGGGGGAGGTGGTTGGGGAGGGTGAAAGAGTCGCGCCCACGGCGGTAGCACTCTCATGTGCGATGCAAATTGAGAGGACTCGGTCCAGGGAGAGGTCGGAATTGTACTGCTCCGCCAGTACTTTTCGTTGGAGGTCTTTATCAAACAGGCCACATATTAACCTGTCACGGATACGGAGTTGCTGTTGATAACCAGCAAGGGCAAACGTTTTCCCACAAGCTCTTTTTGTGCATATTGTAATACACGGGTCGCCGCATGTGCTGCACTTAAAATCCAGCTCATGTGCACACGAGTCATCAAGAGCTTTAAGGGCTGCGAAGTAGCGATCCACCGATTCTCCGGTTTGTTGGTCCCTACGATGAAAATCTTGCCGATCAAGGAGGGGGTTTCGCTTCTTGCGTAGGTAGGCCTCGAGAGCATTCACGGCTTCATCGAGGGTGGTGGTGGTAGAAATATGAAGGCGGCCTGATTGCCAAAGGATGGTCCATTCGGAATGGAGGGCGGCACGCAAAGTCGCTTGCTGTGTGGATAGCGGGAAGGTGGCTACTTGTTGGGCGTCCACGTAGTCGTTCCAACGTTGTTTCCAAACGCGGAAAAAATACATCGTTAACTCCTCCGGGGAAGCCAGTTTAGGAAGCTGGATAATTTTTGTGGCGTGGTGAGGAGGAGCTCCTAATGGGACTGTCGGTGTCGGATTCCGAGTAGCCATCTGCTGCAACAGTGCGGCTATGGACCTGAGGATGTCGGTGCTGGTCGGCGAGGCAGGGTTCTCTGGAGGGGTTTGGGATGGTCGGCGATTCCTTCTTGAGGGCATCTTGATTACTAATTGTCACTGAGCTGTCACTTAAAAAACGGCTATAATTAACCGAATGTCGACTGCGCCATGTTCTACCGCGTTAGGGTAAAGGTTCGAGCTGCAGTGAGAACTATAAATTAATAATTTATATTTTAATAAGTCCAAAAATTACATACAATTATAAGAGGCAGATGGAGTACAGTTTTTACTCCACCAGCGCCTAGAGTATTATATAATGGAAGGAAACGCCGCAGGTTGTAGCGATGCGCGGTAAACAGCCGGCTGACATCAGGCGGTGTTCGAAAAGTGCGCGCGCAGCCCCCGGTGCGCGCGCAGGCCGGCTTGCCAGCTCGCAGAATTCCCGGCGTCCCGTGCCAGCGTCGCCCGCTGGCATCCTCTTATCTCATGCCCCCCCTGGAGATTGGGACTTGGGACCGATCCAACGTAGTTGCTATAACGCGGGTTCGGTTCTCGGGTTCGAGGGGATAAGGTCTGCTGATGTTGAGCTGAGTTGGGTGGGGTGGTGTACGGTGGAGGCACGAAAGGTCGTAAGAATCTGCGATTACGGCGAAGAAGGCGTCCGGCGTCGGTCCGGATGAGGTAGCTGCGACCGCGTGGAAGTTGTTCGAGAACCTTAGCAAGGAGGGTCCAATGTTTTGTGCGGTGATCCTGGACAAGGACTATTGCTCCCACTTCCAAATGTGAGAGTGGCTTGGCGTTGCGATTGTAACGCTTCCGGAAGGAATGTTCTCTTACATTTTGCTGCAAGAGGTACTGGGCCATCTGGATCTGCTGGGGCTTGCCAGAGATGGTGATGACCCGTTCGTTGCTACCAGGCTGTGACTCATCTATGGTGATCCCCGCACCAGACTCGCGCCGGATCTTCCTGATGCGTT